TTTTTTTTTAAATGACGGGGTTTTTCTATATATCCCTGGCTGTCTTGGAACTCTCAATGTAGGCCAGGCTGGCCTCGAACTCACAGAGATCTTCCTGCCTCTGCCCCCCAAGTGCCAGGATTAAAGGATTGTGCCACTATGCCAGGCTCTGTTAGGATTTTCTACATGACCATAAATGATGTTCCAGCCAAACAAAAATACTAATTTGTCTTAAGATCATTGGAAACTTGAATTTCATGGAATTGTGCTGTTGTGATGATTATTTGGTACCTTTTGGAATTTAATATATGAAATGTTGTGTATGAATACAGTGTGGGGAATGGAAAGCTCTCTTAGGGCATAGAGCTGTAAGAATGCCAATGTATTTCCTCACATAATAATAAATGGCTGTATCTTTATGGAAATGTAAGTAGAGAATTTTATTGTGCTAAGAATGGGCTAATGTGTTCCTCAGTGTAGCCGAGGGAATCTGGGAAATCTGTGCAGTAAGCTGACTGGATCTACCTTGGGTGCCAGAAACCTGGTATAATTCACTGCCCTCCTCAGATGGGGTCAGAGCTCCTCTGACTCCCATGTTTCATCAGACTCCAAGCAAGTTCTAGAGCTTGAAGGGTCATTTGGTACAGTAACAGTTCCATTCGTGTTGATACCCGACTTCAACATTAATTACCTTTTCTTGTTTGCTTCAAAACTAACGGCATAGACCAGGAACCAGGTGGGGTTAATTATGGTTGGGAATTTGGTCTCCGATGAAAGCCTCCTGTCACTCAGTGCTCAGTCATTTCTGATAAGATGCTGCCTGTCAATAGATTACCAGCACTTTCATCCTGCACCTTGCAATCTCAGCTAGGATTGGAACCTGGGGCTTGCTGTAGACGATGAAAGTATTGCTGTATACTTTGATATGCTGTGACATTAAGTCGTCTATACTGTCTGATAAAATAAAGCTTTACAGTGTCCTCACACTGGATAGAACTGCTACTACAACACTTTATATAATGTACTTATTTTGAGACAGGGTCTCACTCTAGCCATGACTGGCTTAGAATTGTCTATGGAGACCAGGCTGGCAGTGAACTCAGAGATCCTCCTGCATCTGCCTCTAGAGTGCTGGGATTACAAGATGTGTCGAACCACCGTGCCTGGCAGCTCTATTTATGTTTATTCAGTCTTCTTATGTTCTTTTACTTTTATTTATGTGGGGAGGACAGAGAACTACTAGATGTTTTTAAGTATTTTGCATACTGTCAGAATTGAGAATAAATGAAGTTTCTTTAAGTTTGAGGGTGCTGGATATTAAACCCAGGGCCTTATGCTAAGCAAGTATTTAAAGCAACAACCCAGGCCCTAGAAAGCCCAAGTTTTCTAGGATCCTTGAGTGGGAAATTTCAGGTGTACAAGGTCAGAATTTTAAAAGTCAAGTTTTATGCTACCTGCAGATCATTGACTGAGGAAAATCTCACAACAGTGGGTGGAAAATAAGGAAGCCATTATACAGTTCAAGGACCAAATGCTGTGCTTCATGTTGCTGGTCTCTTCCTATGTTTAGAAATAGGACAAAGTTAACAAAACCAGCAGTGTTCAGCAGAAACAATGTACTTTCAAATGTAGCAGTTTCTCACAGTGTGTGCTGTGGGCATGTCTGGAAGAGCCCTGCTTGAAGGCATTGCAGAGCTTGGGAGAGGTGTCTAAGAGAAAGCAGCAGGGTCCTCACCCTGTGGAAAGCCCCAGCAGTCTCTGCCAGGTGACCCTGACAAACTCTGTGCACCCTCCCACAGAATTCATACAACCCTTTCTTCCTTTATTCACTCTAGTATTTCAAAGCATCTTCTCACTGTTAGCTGTACTTCCCTGGGGTTTTTCTTTGATGGGTAGTCTCCATAGTTTAATACATCATGGTTTTTCATTTTCTGGTAACCTCGTTAGCTTCAGGGGCTTATGACTTGAACATATTTCCAGCCGGATGTGATGGCACACATTTTTAATTCCAGCATTCAGGAGGCAGAAGGAAAAATCTCTGGCTAATCAGGGCTTACCCAGTGAGACCCTGCCTGAAAACAAAGCCAGGTGTGGTGGTGTTCCTTTAGTCTCAGCTATTGGGAGGCAGGGCATGCAGATCTGAGTTCGAGGCCAATCTGGTCTATATAGTTAATTCTAGGACAGCTAGGACTATGTAGAAAGACTGACTCTCTCTCTCTCTCTCTCTCTCTCTCTCTCTCTCTCTCTCTCTCTCTCTCTCTCTCACACACACACACACACACACACACACACACACACACGATAATGATAATGATACCGGGGGAGATAGGATAGCTGAGTGGTTAAGAAAACTTACTGCTCTTGAGGAGGACAAAGGTTGTTTCCAGTACGCAAAATCGTAACTCCAGCTTCAGAGAATGACACCCTCTTCTGGCCTCTTTGGGTACTGCGTGTGTATGCACATGCACATGTAAAACATTTCTAAAAACCTCCTGGAAAAGCTTACATATGGATAGATGTGTGTATACATATATATGTATGCACCTTTCCTTATTTATGGGAATATATGTATATAATCTATTTCTAGGTGTTGCTGTGCCAAACTGTCCCCTTTTTGTTATGTATGTTAATCCATCTGTTTTGAGGGGGCGATCTCCAATGGTAGTGCTTCTACTGGCCTTTCAGTTCCTCCTCAGTCCTCTGGTGGCCGACTTGACTGTGGCAGGTATGGCATAGTAGGTGTGAGTCCCTCTTGTCAGTTTTCATCAGGAACCATGAGGCCAAATGCCCAGTCTATCTTCTGCTTGGTCTTGCCACCGAAGGAGCAAGTGAATGTGGTATGCTGGCTGATTTCAGTTTTCTTCACCATTTTCCCGGAGGTACCAGAGTGGGTCCCGTATTTACCCAGGATGCTTTCTTGGTTCATTTGCTGTGATGTTGACCTAACCCCAGACAACTATCCTTTCTTAATTTAGATAAACACTGCCAAATTTGATAATCGGGAAAGTTGTGTATTCTCTCCAATAATACAGGAAAATTTGTTTCCAACAATCATAATTATTCATTTTGTGATTAAAAAGTAGCCTTATTGTAGTGATTTTTTTTTTTAAGAGCAGGCTTGTCTTGAGTTCACAGAGCTCCCCTCCCCTCCAACTCATGAGTGTTGGGAGAAAGTGTGTTATCAAAAAAAAAGTGAATGTGTGTCTCTGTGGTGACGTAAGAGGGTGTCAGATCTCCCAGGGCTGAAGTTGCAGGCATTGTGGGCCACCCAATAAGGGTGGTAGGATCTGAACTCAGGTCCAATGGAAGAGCTCTTACCTCTGAAGCATCTCTTCAGCCCCAGATTTATATACTTCGAATAATCCTTTTTTGAGCTGGGGATAAGGCTCAGTACAGTGCTTGCCCAGCATGCACAAAGGCCTGAGTTCAGTCCCCAGCACTGCAAAATCACTGCATAAACCAGCATGGTGGTGCATGCCTGTAATCTCAGCGCTGAGTCGTCAGGATCCCAAGTTCGTTCTCAGCCCCCTGGTGAGTTCAAGGCCAGCACGTGGCTGGTGCACAGCTCAGCTCACTTCAGCAGAATGGTGTGCTGAAGTGTGGCAGGTGACAGTGGCTGATAGAGCTGTGACCTGGAGTCCACAGCCAGGATCACTGTTCAATGGTACTGCTCACTTCAACATGCAGGGATCCCCTCTAGCTTCCCAAAGCAGCAAATGACACCAAATGGCCTGTTTGTCACTTGTGGGCCAGTGCAATGGCTGTCCTAGGCTCTGGAATAGATGCACCACCTGGGGAATTTGGAGAGATAGGACTACACTGGGCTTTTCAGTGACCTTCCTTGGGTCTTACTTTCAAATGCCTGTCCCTGATGATTGAACTAGAACCCAGATTCATATACTGATGAATATGATGAGGGAGAGCCTCTCATGACGAGATAGTGGTCATTTTCAGCTTTTCTTAAGAGTCCTTAAATTCACAATCCTGCTGGGAATCCAAGCATGTACCACCATATCCAGCCTACTTTCTGTGGGTAGACAAAGAGGTCCTGAGTCACACAGAGTCAGCAGCCACGTCCAAAGCCAAGGTGAACTGTGGACGCACCTTGATCTTGGACTTCAGCTCTCAGAGAACAAGAAATTCATGGCTAGATGCATTCTGCAGGTCCTGCTTTCCACTCTGGCAGCCTCAAGGACCTATCTGCACCCACAATTCTCTCTACACACACCATAGTCTTTTCCTCTATTACTCAGCCCCACCCTGTTATAGTTCACCGATGCTGGGGTCCTCAGTCACTTCCAGAGTGACTAATTTGAAGAGCTATCCCATCTTACTTAAACTCCTCTTCCCTCCACGCATTCATGGCACATCATGTAAGCATCTCTTTGTTGTACACACTTAGTTCAATTTGTTAATAAAACCACTGGGTGTAAAATTTAAAGTAAACTAGATAATTTATTACACACTTCTGTCAAATTTGTACTTGTTTGAGGCAACTTAATTAAAGTAAAACTGTAAGATATAGGTTGAGTCCCTTATCCAAATGCTTCTGATGGAAGGAAGTGTGTTAGATTTAAAGCTGTTTGTTGTTCTTCGGCAAGAACAGTTTATTGAATGCACTGACAAATGCATTGAGCTGTGCTGCTTTTTAGATTTTGGAAGATCTGCTGATCCCAAACAAAATGTCTCAGAGATCTGACCTAAGTCTAGACATGAACTTCCTTCGTTTTATATGCACCTGACCCACACAAGCCAAAAGTGACCATACGCAATATTCTTAGTGCACCTGTGTTTTGACTGGGACCCTCAGGGAGCTCAGGAGAGGACTCTCTTGTCATGCTCAGGCTCCCAGCTTCAGGCTGTGGGCTGGACACTCACCTGTGTCTCCTCTTCAGGGTTCTCCTGCACAGGTGAGTGGTCAAAGCTGCTGCCATACTATCATTCATGTGTCGGCCTGAAAGTGGAGCATGTGTGGGAAACTGAGTGGCAGTGAATGGGGCCTGAGCTCTGCTTTCCAAGAATGTTTTCCAAAAACTGTTTTATTTCAGAACACACAGGTTGACATGAGTGCCGCAGTCGTCATGTCAGGAAGATCACACTGATGCTCTCACTGGTCATCTCCTCCTCTTGGCAGAAGCACGGCTCACAAGGTCTCAGGGAGATAGAAGACACATCCTCCTCTTGATGCCCATGTGTGGCAAAGTAAGTCCTTTGTGACTGTCACTATGGAACTGTGCTTTCTACAGCTGCTTCATGATTATTAAAGTTTTGCAGTGGCTGGTTTTCCTATTGGCGTCTTACAACCTAAGACAAAGAGACAGCTAATGAGATAATGGTGGTCTTGCTTGTTGCCATAGCTCTGTAGTAAGGCTGTGGTTCACTCTGCAAGGCAAGCTGCAAACACTGAGACCTTCACTGATCACTTAGCTGGCTCCTCTGGATTCTACTGACCTTTCTTTACAAAGCCAGTGGCTGCCTTTTCTAGATGTTCCTCTTTCTCAGCCTACAGCATCCAAAGGGCTCTTAGCTCCATCATGTACTAGAAAGTGTATTCACCCAGAGTACCCAAGACCTCAGAGGAATAGTAAACATCACCACAGATGGGTGTAACTGAGACAGAATTGCCATGAATTTGAAGCAACTCTGAGCTACAGAGTGAGTATAGTGAGTGCGAGGCTAGATCAACCTGGGATCCAGTATCAGACCTTGTCTCAGAAAACAAAAACAAGGCCAGGTATGATAGCGCACACCTTTAGTCTCAGCACTGGAGACAAGGGGCAAAGCAGAGGCAGGCAGATCTCTGTGAGTCTGAGGCTGGCCTCGTCTACATAGTGAGTTTGAGGCCAGCCAGGGCTACATAAAGAGACCCTGTCTCAAAAAGGGGGGGAGGGGGGGCAGCACTGGAGAGGCAGCTCAGTGGTTAAGAACATTTGTTGCACTTAGACATAAAACAGCTCTCTGGTTCTAGAGAATCCAATGCCCTCTTCTGGCCTCTATGGACACTGTATACATGTGCTGCATATATATATATATGCAGGTAAAAATACCCATACAGATAAAATAAAATCCTTTATTAAAAAAGGAAAAACAAAAGTCTGAGCCAGGACAGAATCCTCCTCACCAGAGCTGAACACAAAGGATGCATGCTGATCGAAGGAGGCCTGAGCAGCTGGCTGTGCTGATGGAGAGGAGGCCTGAGCAGCTGGCCTTGCTGTAAGCACTGCCCATTTGGAGTTCACAGTGTCCTCTTACTTAACACTCTGTGCTGCACTTTCTTTTCCTTCTGGCCTTGTAACAGTCTGCTCTTTTAAAACTGTAAGCAGTGCACAGCATTGATTCCCCTACCATTTTAAAGTCTCCCATCTTTCTCACTCCTCCCCAACGCCCACCTGTTTGTTTTTTCCCTGTCCCCTCCTCTACCTCGTTTGTTTTGTTAGGACAGGGTACTATGGAATGTCGTTCTGTATGCTGTGAATGTGTGTTGCTCTGATTGGTTGATAAATAAAGCTGTTTGGCCAATGGTGAGGCAGAATAAGGTTAGGCGGGACATTCCAACTAGAGAGAGAGGAAGGAGAAAGGCAGAGCTGAGATACTGCTAGCTGCCACCAGAAAAACCAAGGTGTAAAGTACCGGTAAGCCATAAGCCATGTGGCAAAGTATAGATTTATAGAAATGGGTTAATTTAAGATGTAAGAGTTAGCTAGTGAGAAGCCTGAGCCATTAGGCCATGTAGTTTGAAAATAATATAAGGCTCTGTGTGTTTATTTGGGTCTGAGTGGCTGCAGGCCCAGGTGGGACCGGAGCAAACTACAGCTACAACAGGGTCTTGCCCTGGAAGGCCTGGTACTCACTATGTAGCCCAAAGCTGGCCTTGAACTCATGGCAGTCCTCCTGCCTCATCTCCCAAGTGCTGTGATTGGCATTTTTCCTTAAGGAAATTCTGGCCTATACTCAGCTTGTTTATATTAGAATCTACAGCTGTTCCTTCCGATAAAAATACTCATGCCACAGCATACCTTAATGTCTACTTACACAATAGGGAAAATGGGTCTAAGCCTATTCAGCTATACTTACCGAGCATTTCTTCTAATTTGCTTGTGGCAGGCTCGTTCACACTAAACACATAGTTACTATCTCTAAAGAGAAGAAAAGCTGGGTTACTGTGTGAACTAGGACAGAGACATCTTTTCGCTATAACTTCTTCCTAACTGTATATCCTATCATGGGACTGCCAAAGGTCTGTGTCATGAAGCTTACTTTTTATTCCTTCAGGCCTTGGGACCAATTCCAGGTCCTCACACATGGTAGGCAAGTGCTCTACCACAGCCCAGGTACAACAACAGCCCCAGTCTGAAGTAGCTGAAACAGGCTTCTTGCTCCTGTTCTGACCACACGAGATACACAATGACGAGAGTTTGGCTTCAAAATACTTGTTCACTGAGGAGACTCTATACCAGTAGTTCTCAACCTGTGGGTCCTGACCCCTGGAGGCAGAGTGGGAGGTGGTGTTGGAAGACTCTTTCACAGAGGTTGAATATCAGATATTTACATTATGACTCATAGCAGTAACAAAATTACAGTTATGAAGTAGCAATGAGATAATTTTATGGTTGGGGTCACAAGATGAACTGTATTAAAGGGTTGCAGCATCAAGAAGATTGAGAACCACTGCTCTAGACACACACACACACACACACACACACACACACACACACACACACACCCCTACCTTCTGACCACATAAGATACAATTAGGAGTTTGGCTTCAGCTTTATCACTGGGATACTCATTCAATAAGGAGCTCTGTCCCTCTCCACCCATACATGTGCATGAACACACTAAATTACCCTATGCTCTTTTCTGTAATTCATCAATCTAGGAAATGCAGTCTGAGGTCAAGCCAAACCTGGACTAGAGTACGTTCTTAATTTTGTGACGTGTGGATTCCCCGGAAACTTGCACTGATCTAATCTTGAGGGCAAGAGGGAGGAACGCGTGGCACTGCACACTTCCTGAAGGACACATTCCTGTGTCGCTGGCTCTGGGGCCTCAGTGCCATTCCGCACCTTGACCCCATTAGCACGTGGTACTTACACCTTCTTCTTTTCTACCACGCCGAGTCTCACAAAAGCTGCTAAGGCATTTTTCTGCAGCTCAGAAGACAACGCATCGTAACACTGAGAGGCACCTGCAAAGAGGGGAAGAGGGCGAGCAATCATTCCTATTCTCGGCTGAGAAGCCCCCACCCACAGAGACGTGCCTGACCTCGATCCAGAAGCTGACTGGTGAACTTCCTAGCTGCAACCAAGTACTGTCTCTCAGTGAAGCAGGCCTCTTCTTCATGCAAGAGGTATTTGGAAAGTATCTGATTTCAAGACGGAGAATGGAAGGAACAGAGAAAAGGAGATTGCCAAAAATAAGAACACATTGAACACACCGCCCTCCTTAAGAACACCACCCTCCACGGTCTGCAACTTCTAACATAGATAGCTCTTTTGATTCCAGCAGCTCTTACAATTAGAAAAGGACAGTTTGAAATGACATTTGGTAAGAGTTTAATTTCTCATCTCAGCTGACTGCAAGACAATCACTTCCAGTTTGGGCTGCCTGGGGAGAGGACCTAGTGTCTTTGACTCTGCCCTTCTTTCTGAGTGCACAGAGTGCAGGTCCTCAAGCGCTGGCTGATTTCCAGTTTATCAAGTACTCATTCCATGCTAGACTGTGGGAGGATGTGGACACCTCTGGGATTACAGTTACCACGATCCACCACCATCACAGGTGCTCAGAGCCAGGGGATAAGCAAAGTGCTGAGAGACACAGATGCCTCTTTTCTGAAAGGCTGACATACCCCACCATTTCAAATTCCCTCCCTGAAATCCTGCCACAGCGTCCAAACCCAGATCTGTGCCCTCTCCTGGTTTGTCGGAACAGGATCCTGCTCTTGTTCTCCCCAGAAGCAGAATGAGTGTTCAGTAACATTAAAGGAGAAGGCATTCAAGTCTTGTGCTCACTTAGCGACCACTATGTATCAACACGGAGCCATACAAAGAACACAGGAAGACACAGCATGACTGTAGTTCTGAGGCAATCATGGGCTCACAGGGGTGCTACCCTCAGCCTATGATAGGCCCAGCTCCTCCTGCTTGTCCCTAAGTAGATATGGAACTTAGCTCTCTAGGTCCACTATTCACCTGCACATGCTCACTCTTCACACCAGAAATAATTTCAGGAAGAAAGTCTTACAATACTGACATGGGGGTATGCAGGATTTGCAAACTTCACATACCTGGTATGATTCCACAAAAGGTTGAAAGAGCCCTACAAGAAATTCTAGCACAGCATTCCCTTTGTCTGTGATGATGATGTCCTTCCCAGTCATCTGTATAGCCTCAGTTCTACACAGCAAGTAACAGCCTTCCTCGAAGTCCTAGACAGGGGAAGGGGAGGACACATGGACATGCTGGTCTGTGTACCCTCAGCATCTCTAGTCCTGCAGCTCCCCAGAGCCGCCTGACTATGCACTGAAGCCGGGAGCATTTGGTCCAACACTCAAGAGCCAAAGCTCAAACATGTAAACATACAGTGTTTGTGAAACAGTGGCCCAGGACAGACACAGACACACACACACACACACACACCAGATGTTCTTCACTTGGCACTGCAACACTTCCTTAAATTTAATAGCAACTCCAGAAAATAGCCACAAGTGGACTTCGACTCAAACCCTGCCAGCCCTCACTTCTCCCACCCCAACTGCCAGAGCACAGGGAAAGCCTCTCCTTAGCATGGCACACAGAAACCTAGAGCACCTTCTGTCTGCCTCTGCCCACACCAGCAAACCCACAGACCACACAGCTGTCCCACTGCCAGGCAGGCCACTCTCAGAGGAAATATGCTGCTGTGCTAAAGCATGCTGGAGATCCTCATCTGTCACTTCTGGAACATGCATTGTGGCATGCCTGCTCTGAGCTGTCAGAACTTACCCTGAGTGTGTTTCCTGGAAGGAAGATGAACTCATCTGAAAACACGTTGCGTAGGAAGGAAAAGCAACTGAAGACATCCTCTGGAAAGAACCCATTTTACAACATTAAGACATTGCTTTTGACTCTGTAGCCCTTCAAATGTGTGTGTGTGCAACAAGGAGATAACTGAGTCCTTAGAGGAAGTGAAGGCAACCCTAGTTTATCCCAAGGACAGACTACAGGCCAGCAGAGTTTAAAAGGGCTGAATATAAATTAAACAAGGCCTCAAAACCCTCAGTCTACAAATGGGCATGATGTCACCATCCTTAGACGTTCCTCAGAAGAGGGACTTCCTTCTGAGCAAAGAAGGAAGGGACCTGATTTCCCAGCTTCTCCCTATTTTTTTTTTTTTGTCTTACAATAGGGTCAGAGCAGCTTTATTTATTAACCAATGGGAGCAACATATATTCACAGCATACAAAAAGACTATCCCACAGCACTTCCCCTTTTCTGTTACCATTTCTTCACTGTGACTTAGTGCTCTGTGTGAAAGCCTGGGTCAATCACCAGACACACACACACACATACACATACACACACACAGATGTACACAGACACACACAGACATACAGACACACACAAACATACACACACACACTTAGCACTCTGTGTGAAAGCCTGAGTCAATCACTAGACACACATACACACAAAGACCACAGTGTGTCCCTGAGACCAACTGAAGAAGATTCTCTGGGGTGGGGCCCTATGATCCTCAGGCAGATCTGGGTAGACCCAGCCTGCATAACTCATTTCAGCTCGCTGTGATCTGATACCACTGTGCTGTACAGTGATGGTGGTGGTGTCCTATCTGCCTCTGCTAGGGTGTCACAGCAGAAACTGCATCAGACCAGCACCTGGACAATGGTGTTCCCAGTGCAGAGCCTCTCTAGGAATTACAGAACTCTCTGGACCTAATTGCCCTTATTTATAAAAGGCACAGCTGGTGTTAGTTTATTGTATGTTTAAGGATACATGCATGCCACAAACACGCATATGGGGAATCAGAGGGCAAGTTTCAGGAGTTGGTTCTTGATTTCCACCTCACTGTAGGCACAGCCTCTCCATTGCTGCTAAGCTGAACCCTCAAGTATAGCTGGTACACAAGGCAGGGGCAGGTCTCCGCTCTCTGCCTCCCGCCTCCCTGTGGAATGCTGGGATTTCATATAGACGCTACCACCCCTAGCTTTTTCCGTGAGTTCTAAGAATCTCAACTCAGCAAGCAAGCTTGCCTAGCAAACATTTATCCACTAAGCCATCTTCCTAGCCCAAAAGTACAGTACTGATTAGGAAGTCATTAGGTCTTTCCAGTTCTGAAGTTGTATTTTTCTCTTAAGGATTCATTTTCATTTTATTCATATGTATGCATGTGTATATGCCCTATGTGTGCAGGGGCCCATGGAGAGCAGAAGAGGATGTCAGAGCTCCTGGAGCTATAGTTGTTGGCAGTTGTAATCTGTCTAACATTCGTGCTGGGAAACTAACTTGGCTCCTCTGAAAGAACAGACACATTCTTAACCACTGAACTATCTCTTTTGGTTGTTTTGAAACTGTTTTGCTCCATAGTCCAGGCTGGCCCTAAACTCCTGGAAGCTCCTCCTGCCTCAACCTGAGTATTTGGGGCTAAGCCACTTGATGCGATACTTTCCCACTCTGGACCCGTAAGCAGGCAGGGCAGCCTCCTTTATTAGAATAGGGGGCTGCACTTAACAGGGCTTCAACACTGCTCCCTTTCTGGAACCAGGGGGCCTGGCCTCTTCGGAAATTCAAGGCCATGCTCCAAGAAAATTACCTTTCCTGAACCCAGGCGTCATGTGCAAGGCTACAGCTACTAAGGACGGACGGACAAAAACGTTGAGCAGCTGGTTCTTGTAGGCCGAGCACATGAGGAGGGTGGTGTGTTGGAACACAAGTCCATTGACCATTTCTGAGCTGCCAGAGTTCACTTTCAGAACCACCCGGTCTTTGACAAGGCTGGCCAGGTTGGAGTGCAGGAGGATGCTGGATTGGATCACTTCCTCAGGAAGCTGGTTATCTACAGAGAGCAGCAGAGTGAACTCAATGAGAAGGCAGCCTCCAATTCCACCATGCTTCCCAGAACCTGCAGGCTCCAAGGCAGCAGACTTCTGTGGTCTAACACCGCCCCCCCTTCTGTTCCGAACTGAAAAGCCAGCTTTCTAACACGCCGCACTATCGGAAGGTCACGTGTCAGCTCCTGCCCCACCACTACTTCCTCATCCCGGAGCCAAGCTTCATCTGTCCTCAGCTTCTGGAGATCTCCTTTCCAAAGCCACAACTCCAAAATCCCCGAGGCCAAGTTCTTCCCCACGTCTTCTCAGGACCTGGGCTGTCCACAGCACTCAGGCTTATTCCACTGACCGCAGCACTAGCTCACCATCACACAGTGCCCTATCCTACCAGAACCGGGAGAGACCCAGGTCAGCTTGTCCACTTCTGTGAACTGGGTGAACTGGGAGGTGCTTGGCTAAAAATCATGACCTGGTCTTTCAGTGATTACACTCTAGCTGCAATGTCTGTGATTTTCAATTTATACTAAGTACGGTGAAAGGCTCCCACCCCCAAGCCCCTAAATTCACAGCACAGTATCCATAACTCCAATGAGGAGTGTGTATGTGCACGCTCTTGACATGGTGTGTACACAGAGGTCAGGGGACAATTCTGGGACTCGGTTTTTGTCTTCCCACTTTGTTTTGAGGCAGGGTCTCTACACTTTCAGTGTATGAGTATTTTGCCTGTATATAAGCATACCACATGGGTGCAGTACCTGATGAGGCTAGAAGAGAGGGTGTGATCCCTTGGAACTGGAGTTACAGATGGCTGAAAGCCACCACGTGGGTGCTGGGACCTGAACTGGATCCTCTGTGAGAGCATCAAGGGCTCTTCAGCACTGAGCACACTTCCAGCCCCAGGTTTCTTTTCTACACTTACTCTGCACTGTGTACTCCAGTGCTCCCAAGTGCTGAGCATTCTTCCTGCTGCCTGGCCCGTGAGCAATTCTCCTGTCTCCTCCTCCTCCTCTCATCTGGATGGGAAGCATGCTGGGACTGCAGATGCACATGACCATGCCCAGTTGTTGACCTGGTTCTGGGAACTAAATCCAAGTTGTGCCAGCCTTGTGTGTGGCACACACCTTTAGTCACTGAACCTCCCTGGTCCTCCAGTGAAGTTTTTACTGAGCTGTTCCTCTTCTTTTTTTTTCTTTTTCTTCTTTCTTTCTTTTTGAGACAGGGTCTCTCTGTGTAGCACTGGCTATCCTGAAACTTTCAATGTGGACTAGGCTGGCTGGAACTCACAGAGATCTGCTTGCCCTTGTCTTCTGGAATGCTAGGATTAAAAGGTATGCACCACTACACCTAGCTTTTTCTTCTTCTTCTTTTTTTCTTTTCTTTTGATTTTTCAAGACAGGGTTTCTCTGTGTAGCTTTGGTGCCTTTCCTGGAACTCACTCTGCAGCCCAGGCTGGCCTCAAACTCACAGAGATCTGCCTGCCTCTGTCTCCTGCGTGCTACGATTAAAGGCACCACCACCCGGCTTTATTTTATTTTATTTTATTTTTTAAGACAGGGTTTCTCTGTGTAGCCCTAGCTGTTCTGGAACTTGCAAAGATCCACTTGCCTCTTTCTCCCAAGTGCTGGGGATTAAAGGCGTGCACCACCACTACCCAGCTCTTCTTCTTCTTTTTTTTTTTTTTTTGTTAAATAAAGACATGGTCTCATGTAGCCGTGGCTGCCCTTGGACTCTTGATGTTCTGCTTCCACCTCCTGAGTGCTGAGGTGATGGGCATGCTTGCTCACTGAATTAGTATTAGAGAGCTAGGGAAAGCCCTTAGCTGCATACTAGAAAGCAGCCAGGCTACAAACACAATGAGTTTTAAAGAGGACTGAGGCTGCAGCTCAGTGTACAGAGCATATACAAAGCCTTAGGTTCCGTTTCCTGTACTGAAAACAACAAAACCAGCCCTGGGGCTGGTGAAATGGATGGTTCAGTGGGTAACGGCTCTTGCCACACAGGCTCAGTCAACTTGAGCTCAGTCCCTGGAACATACGTAAAGGTGATGGGAGAGAACTGACTCCACAAGGCTGTACTCTGACCTCAACACCTCCCATCTCCCAACAACAGTTTTAAAAGCAACTAGATACATTGTAGCAAACAGTACACTCGCTGGGTATGTCTGTAATCCTGACACAGGAGAACTGCTCCAAGTCTGGGATGAGCCTGGGCTATAGAGTGAATTTTAGGCCAGGTTGGGCTGTACAGTGAGACCCTGCCTCTCAGTCAGTCAAGCAGAACCTGCATTTGATTCCTAGAATCCACATAAAAGTCTGAGGAAGTAAAACACACCTGTAATCCCAGCTGAGGCTACAGGGGAGGCAAGGATAAGAAAATCTTCAGGGCTTGCTGGCTAGCCAGCCTAGCCAAATTGGCCAGCTCCACATTCTGAAAGACCTTGGCTCAAAAACTGAAGCAAAGGTGAAAACACCTGTCATCAACCTCTGGCCTCCACAGGCTCATGCATACCATACATGGGTAAGCACACACAAACCCCTCCAAACTTTAATTAAAAAGAAGTGGATGTGGAGGGGAAGGACTCACATCATTATTCTCTGTCTGGAGCTGCCAAGGAAATTATAGCACTGCAGTCCTAGAGGGTTAGGCTCCAGAGTGAGCCAACGCACGGGCAATCACTCTTGAGGAGATCCCTCACGGGGTCTCAGGTTAGGAAAGGAAAGGCTAGTCTACGAACCACGTGCCTCCCATAGACATACCAGGCCAAAGCAGGAACCCTCCAAACACCTGGGTTACGCCCTTCAGCCACAGAGTCTTCTCCACCAGGGTGTCCAGGTCCATGGATAACTGGTTTTGAAGTAGAATGGCAACTACCAGAAGCCATGGGTTCAGAACCAGGTTTTCAATTTGCAGAAGCTGCATCCTGTAGGCGACTTCAGTGACAAAGGCATGTACATCCTCGGGCTGCTTCTGAGGGATGCATCTGAAAGGAGGGGCGCAGAAGAGCGACAGCTCAGCTACCCACACGCGGGTGGCCAGGGCCCCACCAGAAGGCGCGCCATGCTTCTGCCAACCAAATTCTCTCAGACCACATACCAGCAGCATTCCCTAGCTTCACAGTGTGACCTGCCCATGTCTCCAAAGTAGGCAGTTGAAATAAAAAATTAAAAATATTTTTAAAAAATTAAAAAAAAAAAGCAAGCAAAGCCCCTCTTTTTTACTTTAAAAACAGAACATATCATTGTCACAAGCACAGCTGCTTGGACCATGGGTCTGCACTCCAAGAGCCACGTGGGCAGCATCTCCGCTGCCCATTCTGGTAGCAGAAATGTGCAGGGGTTCCATAAAGCTATGGAAGAAGGTAGTTCAAGGGGAGGTGACAGCCAAGAGGCTGCCCTGCACTGGAGTAACTGGCCAGGGCTCTGTGGCAGTGAATGACTAACATCTGCTTCTGGAGGAACAAGCGAGGCTGCTGGCCACGCACCTCACTGCCAGGGCCCTGTGAGAGCTACAGTGCCACTTGAGGGGCTAACTGGGAATAGGGTATGTCTGCTTTACTTCCCCCAGGGACTCCCTGAAGTTAAGAAAACACAAATGCCTGGGCTGGTGAGATGGCTTAGTGGATAAGGAGGCTTGCTGCCAAGCCTGGCAACCTGTATGCACCCACAAACATACAAAATAAATCAATTAATCTAACTGAAAGAAAAATACAAACACAGATGCTTATCTGTGCCCTGAACGCTTAGAGAACCCAGTGTGTCTGAGAACAGGGGCACTGTCCTGCTCACTGCTGCAGACCCTGGACTTCTTCCTAGGGTATAAAGCAGTGCTCTGGACACACTGGCCGCCCTGTGGTCATGTCCACCATCCCTGTGTGTGAGCTTCTGAACAATGGTGCTATTTCTCCTCACTGTTAAGCTGGAGCCCGGGGGGATGACCAATCATCTGGCTACACACTGACACACACAGCGTACAGCTTATCTTTTTTTGTTTTATGGGTGAGCACTTTGGGGGAGGGGTGTAGCAAACAGTTCTCTATTTGTTTGCTATTTCAGACAGGGTCTCAAGTAAACCAGGCTGATCTCAAACTTGCTGTGTAGCGGAAGATAACCTTGGATTCCTGATCCTCCTGCCTCCACCTCCTGAGGGCTGGTATTACAGACATGCCCCACCATGCTGGCTTCAAGCATGAGGTTCTTTAATTGAAGCTTTCCAATGATGAACATGTAATTGCCAGGGCTTCCCTGGCAATTTGCTGGGAGAGCTCAGGCAAGCCAAAGTTTGGTCTCAGAGGCCGTCAACTCAAGAGTCCCGATTCACACTCGTGGGTTTTACTTCTCATTTCTGTGTCAGGTATTAAAACACAGGCCTTGCACCTTGGCACCAAGTTATAGGGGTTCCGACTGAGCCGCCCTGCAGCTAGAGAGCGCAGTGACACAGGGTCTCCAAAGTACACATGGATGCTTCCAAAGTTCTCAGAGAGAATCCGTCTAGCTTTCAACAGCCCCTGGTGGCATCACAAGAGGGAGAAAGAAAACAGGAGTACATCTGCAAATTAGTGGATGTGTAAGCCAGGGTCTTCTCTACACTCAAAGAAAATCAAGTTTGGCTATCTTCACTTACACTGGTGGATTCCTTTGGCTTAGGAATTCCTAGGAGCTCATAGGCATAAAGAGTTTCTTCCAATATTTTATCATAACTGATGCTAATTGGGACAAAGTAGGTATCAAAAACTTCTCTTTTAAAAAATGGTTCCATCACAATATTCAGGAGACCTGTAAGCACAGGGAGAAATATTTTACCATGGACACTGAAGAGCAGGGCACACAAGGACTCAAAAATAATATATCAATCTCCCTCCTTCCTTCTACACTGTACCTATAGCCTCCCACCTGTGGGATTTAGAAGGTGAATCCTAAATCTGTCTCCAACATCTCCCATTCTTGCTCAAGAATAAAATCTGTCATTGCCCAGCTGGTGGTCAGTCTTGTTACTGATCCCACAATGAAAGGAGAAATAACCCAGTCAGGAAGTCAAACCAGCATCATATACAGCCAGCCTTCCTTCCACACCATCTGAGCTATTGCCTCTCACGAACTCACCCAAAACTGACAGAAACTGGGCATAGCAGTTCACACTTATCATCTCAGCACTCAGGAAGTTTAGGCAGGAGGATGGCAGCAAGTCTGAGGCCAGCTGAAGCTACACAGTGAGTTCCAGGCCAGCATGGGCTACTGACTGAGAAACAAATCAAACCATATACATATATACATGAAGGTTACAACTACAATCCATTTTCCAGGGGAGCCCCAAACTCCCCTAATGATGACAGGCTGGGTCTGCTCTTGCTATCTGTGCCCAGTGCTCTGATTCTCTATGCTTCTGCCCAATCCCATTCCCAGGCAGGGGGAAAAAAAAGATATCCAAAGTGTCCAAAAACAGCTACACTGAAGGAAACAGTTCTATTTACAAAGAAAACAGTATCTTGTCAAAGAAGTATCAAGTTCTATTTGGCAGAAGAGTTCACCACACCTGAGGTCTGGGGCTTTTTCATAGGCTTCTAATACATAAGGGACCTACCAAATTTAGGAGACAAGGTCTTGGCAGAGCGACTCCTTGTCCCTTCGAGGAAAAATTCAACAGGAGCATAACCATTCTTTAAAAGAGAACACAACAAATACACAAAACCCATTGTCTACTCTCAAAATAACACAGGCCTCTTTTGTGTCCTGCCCCCACCCCCACCCGTGTGTGTGTGTGTGTGTGTGTGTGTGTGTGTGTGTGTGTACACTCTGGGACTGAATCCATGACCTCTCATTTCCTAGGCAAGCACTCTACCACTAAGCAAGCACTCGACCACTAAAACACATCCCCAGCCTAAGAAATGGCTTCTTCTGACTCCTTATCCCAAGTGCCCTCTGCCCTTTGAACAAACACCACTCACAGCAACATTTTAACAAGGACGCCTCTCAGATGAGGGACCACTGGGAGTTGGTAAGCTCCTTGAGGGGAAAAGACAGCTAGGGGTCTATTCAGAAGTGAGGAGCAAGACAGTTGCTCTGCAGCTCCGGTCCCTGGAGCGCCTGCATTTACCCGTAGCATGGTCTTCACATATTCAGAGAATACGGCCCAGTACAGTTTATTTCCGCCAAAGGTGCGCCGCATGAAGAAGGCCCCAGACATCCTGAGTAGCTCACCGACCAATTTCATTCCCAGGAAGTCTAAAACACAAGGTAGGGGCAATAAGGCAGCAAAGATCTAAATGTAAACACTCTTGAGAAGTTCATGAACAAGACATGTGCCTTGTGACAGCAATAGTTATACTTGTGAGATTAACTCCAGAAGAAGAGCAGAAGGGTGCTGGGGAGAGGGCTCAGTGTCAAGTGTCGGCCACGCAAGCATGAGGACCTGAACTCATTCCCAGCACCCATGCGACAAGCAGAGCATGGCAGTGCACTCCTCCAGTGCACTCCAATGCCGGGAGGAAACCAGTGACAAGATCTCTAGAACTCACTGGCCAGTCAGTCTACCCAAATCAGTGAGCCTGTCCAGATTCAGTGGGACCCTGTCTCTAGAGATAAGGTAACCAATAGAAGAAGACATTCAATGTCAACCTCTGCTCTACATCCCTCGCCCCATGCTCACACATATGCACAAACATGCACATATATATGTGTGTATCCTCACACATGTACACACAATCATACAACACATACACACAAAAATAAAAATGAAAACAAAGGCCATCTAGTAGGATTATGTAAGGGACTGTGAGCCAGATACCTGCTGGGAGGAGACCTTGTACCTCTTTTGTCACCATGGTATTTACAAGCCATCGGGGACACAATGGCAGACAACATGACAAGAACGTCAGAAGGCCAATCTCCTCAGCCATGCTCTGACATGATGTTGCTGAATGTGAATAAATATTCTGAATTTGAGTAATGACAAAAGAATAGCCTTTTTTAGGAATTAGCTTTATCTATTAATCTTGGATCAATAATTTGTTTTTGAGTGGCCAACTGCAATAAAATATTTTTAGATAAAAAGTTTACCTGAATTAGAGTTGTGTATTTGGAACAAATACATATTAATGGGCAGAACATGGAGTTAAGGAAATTTAAAGAGGAAACTTTTTTCTTAGGTATACAATAAACAGTTGGTTTGCTAAGCCTTGAGTGATAAGGAGTACGTGTAAAAAGTCAATTACCACAGGGGGTTATGTCTACCAGAGTTGCTCCATGCCTGACACTTGGGAACTTGTCCTTATGTGTTTTATTTTCAGGGGTGGCTAGTCTGTTTTGAATTTGTTCTTAAGTCTAAAATTAGCTGTCTTTGTGACTGAGAATACTGTTACTTTCCTATGTTAGTTATGAAAAATATCCTAGTATTATTTCTATTAATAAAAATTATAAAGCTTAAGCAAAAGTCATCTTCCTGACCATCCACAGCTATAAATATGCCCAAAGATGAAATTTTTTCATGAGATAAACACAAGCAATGGGAAAAATACCCATAGCAGTTTTTAGGGTAGAAATGTAATGGCACATGAGAGAAATTACAGACAGAAGAAACCAATTTTCAGTCTATGGTCCTGTAAGTCTTGCTGAGGAGATTCTTCCATCAGAGGGTTACTCTTCTGATGGGTTAACACCTGAACTATTAATTGCCATCTGTTGTATATTCCCACGGCCTCCAGCAGTTTATGATCACAGTGTTTATCACAGCTTACAAACCCTAACTAATGTATGTACTCCCATGTCCACAGCACTTGTGGAAACAGCATCCATAACAGAGGGGCTTGTCTAGCATGCCTGAGGCCTGGGGTTCTATTTCCAGCATCAAAATAAATAAGTAAATATTTTTAAATCTCACATTCATAACAGTGTGTCCTAGCTGGTTTTGTGTCAACTTGACATAAGCTAGAGTCATTTGAAAGGAAGGAACCTCAATTGAGAAAATGCCTCCATAAGATCCAGCTTTAAGGTATTTTCTTAATTAGTTATTAATGTGGGAGGGTCCAGCCCATTGTGGATGGTGCCATCCCTGGGCTGGTTGTCCTGGATTCTATAAAAAAGCAGGCTGAGCAAAGACAGGGAAGCAAGCTAGTAGTAAGCAGCAGCCCTCCATGGCCTCTGCATCAGCTTCTGCCTCCAGATTCCTGCCCTGTTTGAGTTCCTTCCCTTACTGCTTTTGATAATGAACTGTTACATGGAACTGGGAACAAAATAAACCCTTTCCGCCCCAACTTTTTTTTTTCATCATAGCAACAGTAACCCTAACTAAGACACAGTGAGGAAAGGCAGCACCAATTTACTTCAGAGAGGAGGGTGGGCATCGAAGACACTCTACATGGAGTGTCTTCTTCTTGGCAAAAATAGCCATTTGGGCAAGAAACTGTTCCTGCCTGGACTGCTTGATTGACTGGACATGCAGAACCCATAGGAAGGTGACCACTGAACTTTGCTTGGCAAAATGGTCCTTCAGGTTCTTGCTTCGCAGAGGAAACTGCCAGACATTCTACAGGACACAGAGAAAAGTGACTGAGAGACTCTAGGCCTGTGGGCTAAAGACAGATGCCCCAACTTTATAGAGAAACTTTGGATGACTGTCCAGGCTGCCAGCTGTCTCTGTCTACTCTCGCAAGACTCCCGAAAGTTGCTTGTGTCCTTCTCCCGTTTCTCAGGTAATATTTTATTCTTCTGAGGTCTTTGACGTAGTTCACTAGATAGTTATAATTTCGAGTTATGATAAGAGATGTTAGATATGAAACCTTAGACTCACAAATATAAGATAGATAGGATATCTTCTTTAATTTTACCAAATACAAATAGACTAGATATTATAAATAGGCTAAATATTGTTAACTCTAATTCTTGCTTGATAATTGTTTTGTTATATATAATTTTACTGTGTTAAAGTTAAAACCTTCCTTTTTGAAAAAAAAAAGAAAAAGGGGAAGATGCTGTGGATGATTGATTGATAAATAAAACGCTGATTGGCCAGTAGCCAGACAGGAAGTATAGGCGGGACAAAGAGAGAGGAGAGGTCTGGGAAGTGGAAGGCTGAGGCAGAGAGACGCTGCCAACAACCTCCATGAGAAGATGTTAAGATACCAGTAAGCCACGAGCCACATGGCAATTTATAGATTAATAGAAATGGGTTAATTTAAGATATAAGATCAGCTAGCTAGAAGCCTGAGCCATTAGGCCAAACAGTTTAAATAATATAAATGTCTGTGTGTTTATTTTATACACGGGCTGCAGGACTGCGAGGGCTTGGCAGGACCTGGAGAGAAACTCTCCAGCTACAGTTACCTGAAATAACCAAATGACAGAAGCAAATAAAGTATCCACAGACAGGTTAAAGGATAAAATTAATGTGGTACGTCCATACAGTGGATTATTACTCAGCCTTAAAAGGGAAGGGAATCCAGATACAAGCTATAACATTGAAGTCATTATGCTAAATGAAATCAGTCAGTCACAGAAGGGTGCATACTGGCAATTTCGAGTATATGAAGTATCCAGAGAGTGGCTGCAGAGGCAGGGAGTGGAACAGTGGCTGCCTCTGGTAGGAGAAAAGCAAAGCACAGTCTCTGGTTAGTAAGTGTCAGTTTTGCAAGACGCAAAGGGTTCTGGGGCAGACTGGAACAATGGAGGTGCAACAATAGGAATGCGCCCCGTGCCTCTAAGATTGCACTTAAACAAGTCAAGACTTCACGTTACATGTATTTTACAAAAACTGAGCATTTTTTTTAAAGCCCTTATCTATTTGTGATCTAGAATGATCACTTGGACTATATTATCAAACTTTTAAAAAGCAGGAAATATGACAAGGTGGGACAGCCTCTCTTTTCAAATCTAAACCAAAGAACCCATGTGCACAGAGGCCTCTCCATGTCTGCTCAGTCATGGGATTACAACACAGGGTCCAAATTGGGCCACCACACCATGGGAGACAGGAGCCCAGGAAAGCTGCTCTTGGTGCCCTTCCCATTCTTTGGTACTCTTATCATCACTCTAGAATGCCAAGTCTATAGTTTAAAAACGTGGAGGAAGACTATGCACGCACCCATTCCTGCTGCAATAACTGGCACAGGGAGATCATAGTTGTACAGAACAAAAGACAGCATGAGGAAGTCAATGTAGCTCCGATGACTGGGCAGCAGGACTACAGGGTGCTCCTGGACAGCTCGTTGTAGCTTGAAAAACAAAAAAGTCAGATTTTCAAGAATTTCAGTTGTCATGTCACTAAAATCACAGCTTAAATCAGAAAACAGAAAGGTAAATCATGGCTGAGCACGGTAGCTCACACCTGCAATCCCAGAACCTGAGAGGCTGAGGTAGCTCAGGCCTGTTATCTCAGCATTTGGGACATTTGGGAGATGAGGTGGAAGGGTCACAAACTCAAGGTCACCTTGGCTATATGAGGAGTTCAAGAGATCTAGCTCATATGAGCTAGAAATCCTGTCAATAAATAAGTTAAATAAAGACATCTAAGGAAGCAGGAAAGCAACACAGAGTAAAACCAGGGCAAGTGATGAGCTGGCAGTAAGGTCACATGTGTTATAACCAAGTTAATTGACCTTGACCACCATATCCTAAGAGAACATGTGTTTATAGGAAAACCACACCAGTATAGGAGATGGTAAAGGAAATGTTGGAGAGGAATCTGTATGAGTGCAGATAAAAATTCCTTCTATTACTTTTGTAACCTGTGAACATGTGACACAAATGGTCTAGAAGTCTTACTCGACTAACTTGGAAGCCTGTAAATCTGACATTAAGGAAGGACAAGCTGCTGACAGCATGTCTCCTGGGCCCACAGTGGATGCCTCATAACCGCCGCCCCCATCCCTCAGCATTCAGTCCAAGTGGGATGTCTCAGAATCAACTATACCAGAGGACAGGAATGTCTGTACCAGTGATCCTCACCTTTTGAATGCCTTCTTCATTCACACACACCTTTGAGAAAATCTGTTTAAAGATTTTGCTCAGGACAAAGGCAAAGAACCGGATGGCTCCCATACGAAGTTTGTGGCTCATTTCCTCCAAGATTGCAGTGGCCTCCTCTCGGAGGGTGTCGACAGATGTAAGGGACTCCCTGGAAAGCTGAAAGGAAGGCAGAGCAGGGATGAATTCTGAAAAACAGAAACCAGAGCTCCTTTCACTCAAACCAATGTGAATAATTCCAAACTGACCCTCTGATGTAACTCTAAGACAGTGGGTGCTCTTCTTGACTAGATCTAACCCAACTCACTAACACAGTAAATGATGTTAAGTCATTCTCTTTCCTGCTTTAGGCGAAGTTTCTCTATGGAGCACAGGCTGGCCTTGAATTCACCATCCTCCTACTCCTCAACCCCCCCACTGATTTCGAGGATTACAGGGGTACACCAACGTGTTCAGTGAAAAATGATTCAATTTAAGCAGGTTTAAAGGCTAGAAATTCAAAGAGAATCCACATGGCACCTGAGAAATGGCAACCAAGGTTGACCTTCTCTGGTCTGTGTACAAAGACACACACACACACACACACACACACACACACAGAGTGCAGTATTGCCACATCCCTTATCTACTCCTTATCTGTACTCAGTTGACAGCCCAGGAAGGAGGGGCTGGGTAACAATCACCTCTTACAGTGCTCCTTCCTTTTATTGACTAGATTATCTCAAACAGTGACTCAGCAAACAAAGAGCCTACATTACCAAGTCACCCAAGGACTAAACAGCAGGGGGCAGGGGAGAAAAGAAGAAGCCAGAGGAACTGGAAGGTGTGGATGAAAATAGGGAGATGAGCCAGGCGGTGGTGGCGCACGCCTTTAATCCCAGCACTCAGGAGGCAGAGGCAGGTGGATCTCCGTGAGTTCAAGGCCAGCCTGGGCTACCAAATGAGTTCCAGGAAAGGCGCAAAGCTATAGAGAGAAACCCTGTCTAGAAAAACAAAAACAAAAACAAAAACAAAAACAAAAACAAACAAACAAAAAAAGAAATAGGGAGATGAAAGTTCAAGCAAGAAACCCGTACAAAATAAAAAAACACAAACAAACAAAAAAACAAAACAAAGCTTTCCTGGGCCAGGCGTGGTCCTTTAAGTCTAAAATCCCTACAGTTGGGAGCTAGAGGCAGAAGGACCCAGAGCTTGAGGCCAACCTGAGCTACAAAATGAGTTCTAGGCAAGTCTGAGAAACTGGCTCATAAACAAAACCAATCCATCAAGAAAAACAACAACAGAGAGTGGGGGATTACTTCTGGAGTTTTAAACCAGGAAGGGAGGAAGATGGGGTCGAGAGAAGAGCAAGAGTTGAGAGTTGGGTCATGGCCCAGCCTTGCTGCATCCATCTCTGTAAAGGGCTCAAGGTATGCTTCTTCACTTATCAGTTCAAAGAGGTTTACTGAATGTCCACCACACCAGAGGCACTGGAGAAGGTCATAGAGAGAAGGACAGAACTGCCAGCCTATAAAAGGAGAGCCCCAATAATTATGCCTAGCATGCAATGCTGCATAATGATAAACAAGCATGCTACTGGCATACGTACTTACTATAGTACACTATTATTCACACACACACCTCCCAACATATGGAGGAAAAAGTCACTCTAAGTCAAGCTGGTGATGCGTCCCTGTAACTCAGCACTGAGAAGGTGGAACAAAAGGACTAAAGATCAATCTGAGCTACAGGAGACTCTGTCTCAAAGTCTCTTCCCATGCACATGGAAAAAAAATCCATATGCATGGGGCTGGAGATGCAGCTCAGTTGTAGGGCATTTGCCTACCATGTAAAGAGCCCTGGGCTCCATCCCTAGGGTGGCAAAGAAACCAAATCAAAATAAAACAAGCAGTATGCTGCTTCCCTAGGGACACCCTCAGGTATCAAATATTTAATCAGGACAGACAGAATCATTTTCTTTCTTGCTGATTTAATCTTATGTTTTGTTCAACTTGGATCAATAAGCAGTAAGCTCCACCATATATGCATACTACCTAGCCTAGGGACATGCAAACTGTGCTCCCTAGTTTCATGTAAGGATACCATGGTACTTCCACATGATGATGCATATCTGAGAACCCAGCCCATCTAACCCAGACATGCCTGACTAGAGTTAACTTACTGCAAAAATGCCTTGGGTCCTCCATAGTACTGTCCCTGAGTGTTAATTGGAGAGATAACTTGTCTTCTGTCATGAAACAGGCCTAACCACAGAGAACTGATAACATCTCTATGATGTGAGAGGCCAAGCAAAGCAAGCAATTAAGGGCATGGGTCAAAGTCTGTATCTACAGTAAAACCAGAACAGTGCTCCTGCATCCATCTGCATGGCACACTCCATTGAGCATCTGAGGGCATGGCACTGTGTGAACAAAACCCAGTCCTTCCACTGGGCTTCCGAGCCCCTGCTGAGCCTCCCTTACCACTGGAGTCTGCTGCATTTCACCACTGTCTCTCTCCTCCGCTGCTCAGACTGAACCACTTTCAACATTTTACGTAAACCTTCTCTTCGACCTCCTGTTCTGAAAACAAACCATGGCTCCCAAAGTGTGGGCTTCTTGAAAAGCTACTGATACAGGAGTGAGACCAGACACAGGATTCCTCAGAGCTTCTCTTGACGTTTTAATGTGGAGGTCTGATGTGATCTGTTCAGCTAAGAACTCTCTTCACCCCCTTCACTAGGAAGACCTGGAGCTTCTGTCAACAACAAAACCTTCCCTACTCTCTACACCAAATTAGCTTTGCTCATAACTACTTAGCACATTCATACCGTGGGCTCTTCCACTGGCAAGCTGTGTCTCATAGTTTACTATGCCACTGGCACCATACTACTTCGTGGACTAGCCTTCCAGTCTTAACAAAATGACAGCACACATTTGAGAGTCATGTAGCTAAACCTAAAAGTATATTTGAGATGATAAGATAAATTCAGATAACCAAGAGAAGGACCCTCTTACAGCGGAGGAGGCTGGCTGTGCCTGAAGAACGATGTCCTTACCTGCTTAATGACATAGTGAATCTCTTCAGAGTTGAGAACAATGGACTTGATGTCACTTGGTTTGCAGGGAGTGACTCCCCTATACAAGGTGGGTGTGTAGCACTTCATGGCAAATTTCAAGTCACTGACATGCCTCCTCTCCTCTAAGATGTCTTCAAACTCATCCCACTTTTTGAGCTCTTTCTGTGAAGAAGGAAAAGACAGTGAGGACCCCCTATTGGGAAAGGATGGATTACCCAAGTTTCCCTCCGCCCAAATGTTTACTTCACAACACCCGAGCAAGAGTATTCTAATATTAGATTCCTAGACAGAGAAAAAAAATGTCAACACCATGATCAATAAGTTGGTACTGAACTATTATCATTAGATAGTTTTATGTGGTCCCAAATTATTAATATTATACAGGGCTTTATGTAGCCCCAGCTGGCCTCAAACTCTCTATATAGCCCAAAACAGCTTTGAACTCCTAATCTTCATCTCCACTGTCCACCTCCCAAGTGCTGGGATTATAGGCTAAGCCACCAGGAATGGGAACCTGTGGTTTGGTTTGGTTTGGTTTGGTTGGACCAGGGACTGAACTAAGGCCTGTTACATGCTTTACAAGCCCTCCACCACTGAGCAGAGGCCCCGGCCTATTGACCAGCGTGTTTCTGATGGCTATCTTTGTAAACTCAGTACTATACTGACAAACTTGTTTCGTCTGCCTCTATTTAGCTTTAAAAAAATAAATCATGTATTCGAAGCCTCAAACTTGGGTGTGGTGGTGCAAGCCTATATAGTCCTTGCCTTTCAGAGGTGGGGGAAAACCATCAAGGTTCAAAACCAGCCTAGTCTACCATGAGACTGTCTCAAAACAAAACTATGTCAATAAAATAAGCAGTCTGCTCTACCTCACCACTTGTGCTCAGCTCTTGTGGGTCCAGCTTGTTTCCATCCACCAAGCCCTTGCACTGGCTTCAGAGTACAGGAGTGCTCTTAGAACAGTGCTTTCCTGACAAAGTAATGAGTGGTGGTAATGATAATGATCACAGTGACCGCTGCCAGCTGCTAAGTGCCAGGTCTATTCTGAGAGCTTGACATGGATAAGAACAATCTCCATTACAACCTCTGAGCAGCTGTCTTCACCAGTCCACAGGAAACCCAAGGTTCAGGGTCACCTGCCTCCTGGGAGCAGCACAGACACAGCTTGGTGGCATCTGTGGCTCCTTACACTGATTGCCACACTTGTTTATGGCAACATTAGGCAATCAGCACTGTAGCCCAGAAGTAGCTTCCATATTTTTTTTTATTTACACCTACAGAAATATGAGTATACCTTATTCAAAACAGGGGCCATGCCAAATACAATTTACCTTTCTTCTTTATCTGTATTCCCTTATAGTAAATACTGTTTAAAAACATCTTAATTGCTACATAATTACCACATTTCATAACATCTTTTTTTTTAACCACGTTTCATCTTTTTTTTTTTTTTGAATTACCAAAGTGACTTGTGCTCACTTAAAAATTCAGAAAATGCAGGAAAAGCACAAACAAAAAACCTCTAACTTTATGTGTAATCCCCTAATGTAGAGATTACTCTAAGGAATGCTTGTTCCTAACTAAGCACAGGGACATGTCTCTCCCAACAGACACACACACACACTGAGACTGCCAACTTGATTTTTTTTCACATGTCATAAACGTCCCTCCTTGTCATTTAAATTTCTTCCATTATTTTTGTCTTCCTCTATTTTAATGTAATTAACCTTCATGTGGCACACTCAGGCTGCATTTCACTTCTTGGAATTACATGAAAAGGCACAACTGTCCTTAAACACAACCACACAGCATTCTGTGTGAGCCTTGGCTTTGGCTGGGCCAGCCTCGCCTGCTCTTCTTTCCCTACCTCCAGGGAAATTCCCCACTTTGGTATTTAATTCAGTGCTCTCTCTGGAGAAAAACCTACCTCCTTCCTCCAGTTCAATGACTTAAGCTGGGGGAGTTCTCCCCTCACCTCCTCCAGCCCTTGTCTCTCGCCTTCCACACCTGCTGGGCACTCACCTGTTCCCTGGATTTGCTGCTTTGTTTCCTCTCCCTTGGTCTTATTTGTGTGTATGTGTGTGTGTGGGGGGGGGGGGGAGGTACAGATGAAATCCAGGGTTTAGCATGCATACTAGGCAAGTGCTCTCCCACTGAGTCACTTCCATGGCCCCACAGCAAGCTTAAAACACTAACTACATGTGCTTCCAAATCTTGCACCTGATTCTCTTCTCCCATCATAAGTTCTGAATTTCCAACACTTCTCCAAAACCTACCCACTTTTGGTGTGGTTCTACAACATGATTATTTTCCTGAAATCTTAACTATTAACCACTATCTGAGCTACACCTTTGGGCATCATTCCACCCAGTCCTGTTATTGTGGCCTTTGAGAATGTATAACATCTACTCAGCATCCACAGACCTACCCTCAGCTAGGCTACCTGGAAGCCTGCACTCATAATCTCAATAGCCTCCTTGCCTAAATGTACCCTGAGTCAATCCTTCTGCCAGCAAATTGTATGCTTTTCAAAACACAGGCTATCCCTCACTCTTAAAAATACTTAAATGAGTTCCAACTGCTCAGAATAAGGCCCGTCACTTTCAGAGTCAGGTAAGATCTGTTAAGTCTGACCTGTCCGCTGAGACACAGTTAACTCCCTGATTAGTGTGCTGTTCTGCCACAAGAGGACTTGCTGGCATCCTTCTGGACATGTGGGCATCTGTCTGGATGGTCCTGCTGCTCTGCTGTACCTGCTGCAGCATCATTCCACTGAGAAGGCTCTCAGGAACTCTCCATAGAATCACTCACACCTTGCTCAGGACCTCTCTGCCTGCTAGTCACATCTAATACATATGTGCTCACACTGTACCTGCATACCTATGCACGCTAACAATGATCCCAAAGGCAGGACCTGTCATTTGTCCTTGCTAATTGCAGCTCGTAAGACTGGAAAGCCTTCTTGAACTTTACAGTTCTCATTAATAAAGTAACAGCTCAAACCTGGACTCAACAAACTACTATTATATAATGTAAGGGCAAGTGGGAACTTAGAAGCTTCCCATTAGTGGTCTCAGGAGTGGAAAGAGGACAGTGTCATTATCAGCAGGGAATGCATTGAGTCCAGGACTAAGAAGGCAAGAGGACCGGGCATATATATTTTGAAAAAGCTTGACAATGAGGTTTGGCGACCCTCCCAACCCTCTACCCCCATCACCTTGGTTCTCTAGTTCCAGTAAAGCTTTTTTATGAACACAGATCAGCATGGTCCCCACCACCTGCTCCTCCTGTGCAAAGGACTGCAGCATGCAGGAGCAGTACTTACTGCCAGCAAGTAAACACATTCGAATGGCTACTTACCCAAGAACACAGTGCAAGTGAGAGTCCAGTAGGAAGGTTGGGATGAAGTACGTCCCCCACCTTGGGTTGTACCTTGGGCCCTCCCACAGCCTCCCTCTCCACTGCTTTCCTTCAGCAAGTGACCCCGCAGAGCCCTCTGTGCACCAGGCTCCCTGCTACAGGCTGGGAATACAGCAGTAAGAGGGCAAGCAAACACTATCCAGAGAGGAAAATGCCCTTCAGCACACACAGACAAGATCAGGTCACTGAGTGATTCACTGGCAGGCAGTATGCAGTGGAGCCCAGGCTTTGGCACTCTGTGGCACATGTATTGCCACCAAGGCCAGCTCACACCAGAATGACCTCAAGATGTGCAGCAGCAGCAGATGATACAGGAGTGTGTTACCTTCCCCTAAGAGGACAACTTTCAAACAGAGATAACAGTAATGTTCAGTAAATAACTGGGAAATGCTATTCAGTAATACTTATCTTTATTTTGTATAAAATATATTTAAGTATAAATTTATGTGGCTTAACCTTTGGTTTTCATTAATGGCTATGTTTTACCAATGGGCTTACCAATGCCATGAATATTTAACAATTAGCTCTGGCCAGCCAGTACTAAGACCGCTGTGACCCACCACTGAATGAGCTCAAGAAGATAAAACTTTATACTGAGTGGTTCACAAAATGTTTGAGGTGGGTCCTTGATATTAAAAAGAGTCAGCAAGATAAAGTTCTGCCACACAGAAGGGACCATGAACACTTTCTTCCTGAGAAATACAAAGCCAGGGTG